TGTAATTCTTTAAGCAATAAAAAAAATAAATTAAAAAAAAACACACAAACTTATAGCTAGAGGACAAACTGACAGCTATCAAGAGGGGGGAGGGGTTGGGAGGCTGGGTATAAAAGGTGAAGGGATTAAGCAAAAAACAACAACAAAAAACCAACCAAACAAACAAACAAAATAACCTCATAGACACAGACAACAGTATGATGATTACCAGAGGGAAAGGGAGTTAGCAGTAGGTGAAGAGGGTTAAGGGAGAATAAACGGTGAGGAAGGATTCTTGAAGTGGGGTGGTAAACACACAATACAATACACAGATGATTTATTATAGAATTGTACATCTGAAACCTATATAATTATATTAAGCAATGTCACCCCAATAAATTAAATAAATATTTTTTTAAATTTAAAAGTATTAAAGGTTTGTGTGATATATGTCAGGTTTATTTCCTTTAGTTTGTATCAAATATCTCACTGAAAATGCACAAAATACTTAAAAGCAAAATAATGAAGTCTTCAGTAAAATCTAATTGCTCAAGATATACCAATATAATATGTATATTTAAGTCTGTATTTTTGCTATAACTGGCATTTATTTTTATTTCTATAATTTTTTCTGCTTACAACTCTATTGAGGTATAATTCATACATAATATAAACTTCACATATTAAGTGTACAATTTGATAAGCACTAATAGATGTTAAACCTTCACCCAAAAGTTCCTTGTGTCCCTTTGCAGTCCCTCCCTCCCTCTACCCACCCCCAGGCAATCACAGTCTGTTTTCTGCCATAGGAATTTAGTTTGCTCTCTTTGGAGTTTTATAAACTGGAATAAGACAGTATGTTCCATTTGTGTGCAGCTTCTTTCTTTTTTTAAAATTTATTTTAAATTCTTCACTCAGTTTTTTATTTTTTTGTTATTTTTATTGATTTCAGAGAGGAAGGAATGGAGAGGGAGAGAGAAATAGAAACAGAGAGAATCATTGATCGGCTGCCTCCTGCACGTCCCCTACTGGAGATTGAGCCCGCAACCCAAGCATGTACCCTTGACTGGAGTCGAACCCAGGACCTTTCAATCTGCAGGCTGACACTCTATCCACTGAACCAAACCGGCTAGGGCTGTGTGAGCATTTTAATCCCCTCTGTGATGCAACCCAATGCTTCTTGCTGGGCACCTTGCTTTATTCCAGCTTAGGATAGCATTAAAGAGGAACAGAGGCAGGCTCCCCATTGCCACATAAATGATCTCCTTACTGCCAAAACCAGTTTCCCCTCCATTCCCTGTTGTCCTCATCTACTGTAATTATTGCTATCCATCACCATCCTTTCATTTTTTTTTAAAAAAAAAGTGTTTGTTTTTTAATGTTTTTGTTGATTTTAGAGAGAGAGAAGCATCGATCGGCTGCCTCCTGCACACCCCCTACTGAGGATCGAGCCTGCAACCCGGGCATGTGCCCTGACCAGGAATTAATCCTGTGACCTCCTGGTTCATAGGTCGACGCTCAACCACTGAGCCACACCGGCTGGGCCATGCATATTTTTAAAAATGTATTTTTATTGATTTCAGGAAGGAATGGAGAGGGAGAGAGAAATAGAAACAGAGAGAATCATTGATCGGCTGCCTCCTGCACGTCCCCTACTGGAGATTGAGCCCGCAACCCAAGCATGTACCCTTGACTGGAGTCGAACCCAGGACCTTTCAATCTGCAGGCTGACAGTCTATCCACTGAACCAAACCGGCTAGGGCTGTGTGCAGCTTCACTGCTTCTTTCACTCAGCAGGATTTTGAGATTCATCCACATTACTGCCTATATTGAGTTTGTTCTTTTTATTGCTAAGTACTATGACTATGAAGTTTTAAATTTCTTTGATAAACACTAAAAAAAATAGAAACTTTCTAGAGTGATGCCATGGCTTTAAGTGATGAGAACACAAATTATAAGTATTGGAGGAATTTTTTTTTTAACTAGTTGGAACTTTCTCAAATGTATAGACTGCTTTAAACCAGTAAAACTATTCTGAAAATATCTCTTATCCAAATATTTAAAATTATATAAAAATTTAAAACTTTTGTCAAAGTCGACAAAAATTTATCTAAATTCTATTCTTCTGATGGTATTATGGGTCTATGCAGTCCATTATGTGTACACTAAACCCAGATTCTTATATAAGTAGTACATTTTTTTAAGTTCAATGTATATGATGCACAGGTAAAGCACACATATTCCATAGTACTATATGTCCTAATACCGATTCAAAAGACTCAGAGAAAGAAGTGAATTAGTAATATATAAACATGACCCAAAATACCAGAAGCCTTTATTACATAAAAGCAAAATAAAACTGGTCCTACAAAAAATTCTCAAGCTCTATAATAAGTATGGTACCAATCTGGTATCATTCTATTCTAATGCAGCATAAAAAAATAAAGTTGCATGGAGATATTTAAAAAGAATAGAATTTAAAAAATACTAGTATAAACAAGGGAAAAAAAGGAAAAAGATGAAGAAAAATAAAACACAGAAAAAGGAGATAAAAACCAAGGATCTGAGGGAAGGAAATGAGAAAATTATGAAGAATAACTTCAAGGAATCTTTTACAGAAATTGATTGTGTGTGTGTGTGTGTGTGTGTACACATATATAGGTATGTATTCTCTTTAAATCTCCTTACCTTAATTTCCTTTCCATTTCTCTTCTTTTCATATTTGATTAACCAATTATCATTTCCCCTGTCTTTCAAAACAGCAAAAATAAAACAAAACAAAACAAAAATCTGTTACTATTTTTTAATGGGTATCATAGCTTAATATCAAGGGGAAAAATATAGTCAGTCACTTCTTGATTTTCAACTGTCATTGGTTATCAGTGACATATATTTATATATTAAAGCTCTAATTTAACACAACAAAAATGTTACAAATTAAAAAATGTTAGCTAACATTTATGTGCATTTACTCTGTGCCAGATATTTTGCTAGTGCATATATATATTTTATTGACTTCAGAGAGGAAGGGAGCGGGAGAGAGAGATAGAAACATCAATGATGATAGAGAATCGACTGGCTGCCTCCTGCACACCCCCTACTGGGGATTAAGCCTGAAATGCAGGCATGTGCCCTGACAAGGAATTGAACTATGACCTCTTGATTCATACGCTCAACCACTGAGACACACAGGTTGGGCAACATATATTAATTCATTTAATTCTCATAACGACTCTATGAGGTAGATACAATGATGGTCAAAGCTATTAAATCAAGGTTATTAAAATCAGGGATAATTTTTCTCTGCCTTAGAAAGAAAAAGCATCTAACCCCATTACCAGGAGCATGGTAATACTCTCACCTAATGTCTATACATGAGTATTCTAGACTCTACACTAATTTTAACTTTAACCTAAAACCATATTAATTAAGATTTTAAATCTAGAAAAGTACATATTATTTTTTGAGAAATCAATATAAATGAGTGACTATTTGAACCTGTGGTTCTCAAACTTCAGAGTGCAGCAGAATTACCTGGAGGACTTGTTAAAATACAAACTTCTGGCCCCGACATGCAGTTTCTGTGCCAGCAGGTCTGGGGTGGGCTACTAGAAGATGCACTTGTAACAAGTCCCCACATAACACTGACCTTGTAGGCCAAGGACCACATTTGGAAACCACTGTGTTACATTACCTACATCACTGCTCCCTTCCAGTGCATAAAAAATTAAGAGTTTAATGTATTTATAGGCTATACTAAGTTATCTACAGTCAAAATAAGCATCTAAAATAATTTATACAATCAAGTATTAATTATTCATATTATGCAGACAGCATTTCTGATAACTGGCTTTGTCCAGCTGCCAAGAAACACCACACTATGGATAGAAACTGATCATGATCACCAGGACAGGAGCCTGCTTTGAATCAGGATCTCCAATTCTGCCAAACGGGTCATCTGCATCTCTCTTTTCGAAGGCAGATAAAGAAAAAGTGGCCTCAAGACTTCTGCATCAAAACCTTATGTCTTTGATTTGGATGACAGGCATTGAATACAATTGGAAAGCTAACAAGATTTGACTGAACAAACGAGAGAACTTTAATACCTGTATTTCTGATGATGTAATCCAAAATCACTAATCTTTCAAATTGCGACTGAAATTGTTTTCTAGTATTCTCAGGCAAAGGGTCAGCTTCAAATTTCCTAAGCCAAAATTCGGCCTCCTTGTAACCTTCAACAAATAACTGAAAGGAACCAATCTATAATTTTAAGAACTATAGTTAGAAAAGAAAGTATAAGAACGAAGGGATTATTTTTTAAATTTCTCAGCAGTATCATAAAATATATAAACACAAGAAAAATAGAAGAGTTAACACTAATTTAGATAAGCCATATTTATCAAGAACACTAATTTTACACACTAATGCTAAATTATCACATAAAGAATACATAGCACATAAAAAATGTTTAAAGAGCATAGCAGCTATTTTAGGATAAAAAGCATTTCTACTACTAAAATTATTGTTGTTAACATTAAAGGAAATACAAATTTTAAATAGCACACAACAGCCCAGCCTGTGTGTGGCTTAGTGGCTGAGCATCGACCCATGCACCAGGAGGTCACTAGTTCAATCCCCAGTCAGGGCACATGTCCAGGTTGCAGGCTCGATCCCAGTGGGGGCACGCGGAAGGCAGACAATTGATGTTTCTCTCACATTGATGTTTCTATCTCTCTGTCTCCCTTTCCCTTCCTCTCTCAGAAATCAATAAAAACATATTAAATAAATAAATAGCACACAACACACAGATAAGGGGTGACCTAGTTGGCCTCATAAATACAAACAAATCACCACAAAGAAAATCTATTTTTTACCCTTTCTTAACAATTTATGGTCTTCTTGTTGGCATGAAATTTTAATGATTTCCTAAAGGTTTTCTCTAAAGTACTGATAATTAAGTCCTACTAGTCATAAATATGTAAATAATATTCTTTTTTAGTCACATTTATTTTAGCATATCCAAGGAGTAACAGGCTTTGTAAAAATTTTCCAAGTCCTTGCTTACTTGGAGTACAATTTTAAAAATAAGTTAGACTGACCATGAATTTTTATTCGAATTCTTTTATCTAGATCAGCGGTTCTCAACCTGTGGGTTGCGCACCCTCTGGGGGTCGAACAACCCTTTCACAGGGGTCGCCTAAGACCATCGGAAAACACATATATAATTACATATTGTTTTTGTGATTAATCACTATGCTTTAATTATATTCAATTTGTAACAATGAAATTGGGGGTCACCACAACATGAAGAACTGTATTAAAGGGTCGCGGCATTAGGAAGGTTGAGAACCACTGATCTAGATAAATGCACATCTGTAACAACAAAACTGCAGGTCAAACAAACAAAAAAAACCCCCCTAGATCTTTTTCTAATATACCTTTCTCATTAACCCTTCCTACCCTTGCTTAGCTAGCTGCTAATCATCCCTTAGTTTTATTTAAAAGTGGTAAGAAAAACCAAAAGCTAATATGTAGTGAGTAAACATAGTTACTACCATTTACTTTTGTATGTGCTACGACTATACCAAGTACTTGACAGAAATCTCTTTATTTTATCCTCACAACCCTAAGAAGTAGGTTCGATCATTCCCCCATTTTATAGAAACTGGGGCTAGGAGAGTAAGGAACTAACCTCAGGTCTCAGAACTAACTGATAGAGAGGCTGGGAGTGAAATCTAAGTTTGACTCTGGATCTGTGCTCTAGCCATTATTTTATAAAGCTATAGATGCAACCTCCTCTTGCAAACATTCGCTAATCCTCCAAAATGGGTTACATATCCCTCCTCTATTCTGAGTTCCCGGCACTTACTATTTTGCATTGAGACTGCTTCTTTACTTATTAATAACTTTGAAGATGAAAAAATTGTTTTCTTTACTATTCTATCCGCAGCCCACAGCACAATACCTAGCACATGGAGCTCAGGTAATAGGTGCTGAATTGGCCCCCAAATAAAGCTTATCAGAGTAACTTACCTTAGGAGGGAGTCCTATTCGGTGAAATTTTCTACCTACTTTTGGCACTTTCTCTAAAGCATACTTTTTGCCTCTAGCTTTTGCACGGTCAATTGTACTGTAGTTAAATGTCTCACTGCCAAGCCAAACCACCTAGAAACATATGGTTTAGAAAAATAGTTATTAGAATTTGCATAATAATATTTATATTCATATACATTATGAAACTCACTTGAATACTATAAATTAGCCAATTTTAATCCTATACGAAATGCCTCAGAGAATCTAAAATAGAAAGGCTAAGGGATTTTGCAGTCAATTAAATGGCACATCTTTCTCTCTGAGAGAAGCAGCCTAAAATTAGCCAGTGGGAGAAAGAAGTAACAGTCTTGAAATGTACAATTAGGAATGAATATCTTGAGGAAGTTTCCAAGAAAAAAGTCTTTTGAGCACATTAGTTATCTCTACCCTTAACAGAATTTCTAGATCCCTGATCTTTACCTGCTTTTTAAAAACTAGTTCTTTTTCCTCTTTTGTTAGCATCACCTCAGCTCATGTGTGCAAGAGACATTCATTCCCTTGAGCACTTAGTGGCTCTACACTAGAATCGATTTGTTAGTCCCTCATGACTCTGAATTTCCAAAAAAGGGAGTTCAATTTTAGGCTCTGTCATTAGAAATATGTTCAGAGAACCAAAGTCCATGCTTAAAAACAAATTCTCCTTTACCCTTGTTTTTGGTACAATGCCCAGATGAAGCTTTTCATCCACTAGAGAGGCAGCAGCTTCAGAAAGGTATCCCTGGTTAGGAACCAAGCAGCCTCTGCCAAAGCAGCAAGGGCAGCAGACCTTATGAATATATTTGGTCCATTTTGGATTCAGATGACTATAAGGCTCTAAAAAAAGGTAAAAACACCAATAGTTTTCTATAGGGGAAAAAAGTAGAAAATTTTATTAGACTTCTAATATAGAGATAATAATCCATAAAGTTCATTCTGATAAATCTTCCCAACACAGACTTGGATATAAAACCCTTAGATATTAAGGGATTTAGTTCCAATCACATTTTTACATTCATTCTCATTCAACAGTCTAAAATCAATAATCCTTGGGGCTAGTGGTTTTCAAACTGTGCTCTTGAGAAACCCTGGGGAAGGTGAGAGGGGAGGTGAGGCCAGGGCTCCAAGACCTCATGACACTTAACCAGATAGACTTCCATGCCTCCTGTTTTATATTACTGGCCTTCCAACTTATTAAAAGAGTCCACTGATTTTAAAATGTCTGGAAACTACTGATGTAGATCAAACAGTTATTATTCAATATCTGTTAAATATCCAAATTATGTTATTTTGTTTACTATCTACTTTCCCATTTAATGTATATTCTAAAAGGGCAGGAACTGTTTTAGAACTGTATCCCAAGAACTCAGAACAGTACTTGACACAAGGCAGGCATTCAATCATGTTAAATTAATAAATCTAATGACAAAATGTGCTCTCTACACAGGTGACAAAGATAAAATATGAAGGTAATGACAGGCTATAGTAAACATCTATATTGTCAGATTCTCTGACCCTAATCTTTTTTCCAATTATTTTTTTATGAACCAATTTTAAGTAAATTTTCTCATTTAAAAAAAATTGCTCATGGATATCTAATAGTCTATCTTTACTACTGGTCTGATAAAATATATTCATATTAAATTTAGGGGCTGAATTATCCTTAGATAAGAAGTAAAAATCTTACTATAATTTTAAGTATGTAATTGCTTTATAATGCAAAAAGTCTAAACCACTAGTAAGAAAGTCGACAAGAACAAATTGAGGAATCAAACTTGGAATAAAGATTGAGATTGACATTACCTATATACTTAAAGCTCAAAAAAGACTTTATTTTAAATATAACTTTGATCTTTGCAAAAAAACATCTGGATGAAATTATAATCTTTATTCCTTTTAAAAAAAGGAACTGCTGGCTATGCATCATTCAGAAAGTTTTTATAAATGATAACATCGGTACTGGAAAAATTCTAGACTAAGTGGGACGAGGTCCCATATCAGCTTCTCTTTTCTGCCCTAGAATTATGCTTTGATTCATTTCACTTTCTAATGCCTTCAAACTTCAAACTTCCCAGGCTCCTTCTCTGGTTGTAATGTGAGGAAAAAATATTCCTAGCATAAAATAAATCTTTGAAAAAAATCAAGCAACTTGGAAATGCCATTAAACAGATTTTGAAAGTTTAAACTTCTACTTTGCTTGGCTAATAGGGTTAGAGACTACTGTAAGGTAAGGACTTATGATACTCAATAAATCTACAGCTGAAAGTGAGTAGATTTCAATCATTTCAATAAATGATTGAAACCAAATGTTAAAACAATAGAGAGAAAAAATAACACACCCAAAACCTGATCTTTTTTTTTTTAATATATTTTATTGATTTTTTACAGAGAGGAAGGGAGAGAGATAGAAAGTCAGAAACATCGATGAGAGAGAAACATCGATCAGCTGCCTCCTGCACATCTCCCACTGGGGATATGCCTGCAACCAAGGTACATGCCCTTGACCAGAATCGAACCTGGGACCCTTCAGTCCGCAGACCGATGCTCTATCCACTGAGCCAAACTGGTTTTGGCCAAAACCTGATCTTTACTTCTAAAAAGAAGGTGCAATCAGATTTATTAAGAAAATATCTTCAGAAACTCACCATCACTTCACATTTAAATTAGTGTTTTCCCAAATGTATGTTATATGTAGTAAGTTTGTGAAATTCTCACCCTCTTAGGATCCTTCACAAAGTAACTTCCACTTGAACCTTGAGAGATTCTTTCTGGAAGAACTCCAAATTCTATTGCTTGCTCTGCTTTCCATACAATATCAGCAAACTCTGGATCATCCAAGAATGAATTCAACTCTGAAGAACCAACATTTACTGCATTGAGAAAAATCAATGTTAATATAGCACATGAAGAAGAAGAAAGAGCAGCTAAGAAAATGCTCATGATATGAACCTGTAATATTGGATCAGGCTAATAGCATCAGGACATGAAAGTATAAAAATATAATGATTATATAGGCTGCTTTGATCATCCTTTTTCCCCTCTCTACCCCCACTTCTCTTTAAGCTTCAGGTAATGACACATGGAACACAAGATCCCTATTGGATTAATCACAGTACTATGCACAATACTCTGAACTCCTCTCTTCAGTGATTTTGTTTTCCATTCTACCTAAGTCTTCAACTTCAAGGCCACACCTTAGATTTGTTATTACCTATAATCTCTCCATACTTAAAATTTCAAGCACCTTATATCTTCCTAATTCACTCTCTCTGGTACCCCGAGCCCCCAAATTCGTCCACCCCACTGAGACCTACAAAGCAGTGGATCTAGCATGTTGCCACTGATTTTCACCTCCTTTATGCCCTTATTTCCCTCCTTGGTCAGCTTAAATTAGGGTCAATCATCATATAATCACTCTCTCTTTGCTCTCATCAGGTCACCTGGAAAACCCCCAATCCTGGTTAAACCCAACTGTCAGCTCACCAAGCCTAGGTTGAGACAGCTGAACTTGACAAGAGAAACACACACAAACACAATGCCTGGTCTCACTTGAAATCCATCACCACAAACTTCAGGTGGGTATCATGCTGCTTAGGAAACCCTAATTCCCAATGTTACTATATCAGAAGATTGGCCTTTCAGAGGTAATTCGGTTTAGATTAGGTCATGAGGATAGGGCCTCCATAAAGAGATTAGTGCACAGAGCTCTCTCTCTCCCTTTCCCTCTGCCATGTGAGGATACAATGAGAAGGTGACCATCTGCAAGGGAGGGAGAGAGCCCTCCCCAGAATATGACTCTACTGGCTCCCTTATCTTGGACTTCCCAGACTCCAGAACTGAGAGCAGTAAATGTCTGTTGGTTAAGCCACCCAGTTTATGCTATTTTGTTATAGCAGCCTGAACTAAGGCAACTCCTCTGGTCCATAGACTCTCCCACTGTACTGAACATACTCTCTCCTTTCCTCAAATTCCCAACACCTCCTCTCTCAGCAGTTGATCTAGCTTCCCATTTCACTAAGAGAAGCAATCAGAAAAATTATCATTAGCCCTCAGCACCACGTATACCCATCCACATCCTATCCATTCATCTACCACTACAGTGAACTGTCTAAGCTCTAAGATCAACTCTTCCAGTTTGTGTACTAGACCCTATCTTAGGGACTACTCCAGAACATTTCTTCAGTAATTCATCCCTGCATCAAAATTTCCCTCTCTACTGGATCATTTCTCTCACCCCCCACGTCCAATCCATCAGCAAGTTGCGTGGCTCTGCCTTAAATAAATATCCAGAATCCAACCATCTCTCACCATTTCCATTTCCACTACGTGAATCAAGTCATTATCAACTCTCACCTATGTTATTACAAGTCTCCTAACTAGTCTTCCTTTCACCCATGCCCTTTCCATATTCAATAGAGAAGCTATAGCAATCCTTTTAAAATAAATCAGATCATATCACTCCTTTGTACAAAACAGCACAACGGTTTCTTGGCTCACTTGAAGTAAAAGTACGAGTCCTTATAATGGTCCCCAAGATGCTAACCAATCTCCCTTAACCTCCACTTTAATTTCTTATCACTTAATGTATAATTTACTTATTTGTGAGCTCCAAGAAGACAAGAATTTTTCTTACCGCCAATGTCCAGCACTTTTAAAGTTCCTGGAACATAATAGCCACTAAATAAATACTTACAGAATGAATTTATTGCTATCATATGCATCCAAGTTTATAAAAATTCAAAACATAAACTTTTCTTAATTTAAAATTTGCCTTAATTCAGACAGAAATAATACTGTTATTTACTAATTTTTAAATGTTTGTGCTAAGAAAAATACTACAAAAAGGTCTACTCTAAGGGGTATATTTATCTTACTTAAAAGAATAAGTCGTCTGTGCTCGCTTCGGCGGCACATACACTAAAATTGGAACAATGCAGATTAGCATGGCCCCTGCGCAAGGATGACTCAAAAATTCGTGAAGCGTTCCATATTTTTAAAAAAGTCATCTAAGTATTTTAGTCATGGCTATACAATTGATATGCTAATTCCAAATAATTCTTATCTACCCCATGAAAATCCCTAAGAAGGAAGGAACTCTGTCTTTATTGTTCACTATGTATCCCTGAAGAGATGATACTTAATACTGAATTGAATAAATGTATTATTTAGGTGCTAGAGTAATCATTATTACCGTATTTGCCGGCGTATAAGACGACTGGGCGTATAAGACGACCCCCTAACATTTCCTCTCAAAATACAGTTTGTTATATACTCGCCGTATAAGACTACCCCCTCTTCCGCACACCTTCCACACACCAAATAAAAGGTAAAACAATATCAGATTTGATTTTAACATTTTAATT